ACAATCATGAGAAATAAACGAATGAATGGCATCAGTATCAATCATAGTAATGGGTGCAACACCCTGAATAAAACATGTACCTCTAATTAAGTTATCTAGTTTTGAGACATATGCACCACTCAAGGAAAACACTCTACCATTAGTCTCGGAAACACTAGATGTCGTCTTCTTTGGTTTATGGCATTGGGTGCTAATGTGACCCTGTTCTCCGCAGTTATAATAAGTCGGCCCATCACTCCTGCACTCTGCAATACGATGAATTGTCTTCCCACATTTGAAACACTTCATAACTTTATTCTTAGATTCGTTAGTACGGTGGGCCCAAATTACCACACTTGAAACACTTGATAGAAGTGGGAGCCTCTCCCCCACTTGGCCTTTTCTGACCTAAAGCCTTTTCTTTCCCTTTGTCAACTGAAATACTATACGGTTTTCCACAATTATGATCTTTCCCTTTCTTCTCATTAATACTCTTATAGTGAGTAGATCGGGCTCTGTTATCTTCATCATATATCATGAACTTATTCACCAGTATAGAAAATCGGTGAATTTCTTAATAACCAATACCTTGCTTGATCTCAAGTGCAATCCGCTTTCAAACTTGATACATATTGATCCCTCATTCGTCACACTATTATAGTATGGACAAAACTTTACCAGCTCTTCGAACTTAACACCATATTCAGCAATTGTCATATTACCTTGCTTTAGCCCAAGGTACTCTATCTCCTTTTTAATGTGCACGTCCTTTGGAAATTACTTCTCTAAGAATTCAGCTTTGAGTACATCCCAAATTATCTTAGTACCCACAACTTCCATCCTCTGACGTGTATTATTCCACCAGTCTTCGACCTCTTTTGACAGCATATGAGTACCAAAGTGCACCTCCTGAGCCTCAGGGCAAGTTATCACTTGAAAAATCTTCTCAATCTCTATGAGCCATATATGTGCACCTTCTGGATCATATCTGCCCTTGAAGGTCAGTGGATTATTCTTCTAAAATTTTCCCAATCCACATAACTCATAAATAGCTCCACCATTTTGATTATTCTGATTATTCTAAGTCATTGCTTGAGCCAGTGATTCCAAAGCTTGACTAATTTCATCATTGTTTCTTCCTTCATCCATATCTCTACATATAGGCAAATGACATTAGAAGAAACACAACATTCAACAGTGTTCACATACTAGTCAACTACTAGGGAACCGACAACATACAAAAACCTGGTCAGATGGACCGACTTGCTCTAATATCACTAATGTAACACTAGAATTCCCAATTCTACATAAAACATGATATTTAAATAAATCAACCCAACCAATTAGAGTGTCACGCAATGACCCGCCAATCATAAAACCAAAACAAAATATTCTTTAGAAAATTCGAAACGAAACAACAAATAGTTTGTACATTAGAGTCTCATCAATTACAGGATAATAAAATTAGTTTAACAACTTCAAAATAACATAAAACATGTAATAAAGAAAATAAAAGAATAATACATTCCCAGTGTTACATATAAGAGTGAGTCCACTAAAGACCCGAACGAATAAGTAACTAAAGAGGCATTGAAGTTGTCTTCTACCTCAAGCAGCTACTTCTTAACCTACTTGTCTATACTTCATTGGTGCACAGACACCACAATAAAGGGAGTGAGAATACATTCAAAATATGTTAGTTGTGTAAACCAAAGCAAGGATAGTATAATCATATACTCATTAAAAACACATGTTATTCCCACCCATCATCAATTACATTAAGTATTCTTAATCATTCAACAACATCATAATTATTCGACTACATATGCAAACATGTATGCAAATGTACTCAAAATCTCAACTCTATATGCATGTGATTAGGTATGGAAATTGGACTCATCCCCGGTGGATACCCGTAAAAAATTATCCACAACTGATAGGGTAAAAATCCACAAAAAGGATACGGGCATGGGCATGAGTAATTACCCACTAAAATTAGTGGGTATGGGAGCGGAAATGGTACCTCTGTACCCACCCGGCCCCATACCCGCATAATGTATATTTATATATTTTTATTTTTATTATTATATACACATGTATGCTTATCAATTTTATTAAATACATCACAATTAAACTTGTACGCATTTGAATATAAATGTTTGTTAATTTTTTAATTCAACAATAACATCTTTAAATTTTTTTAAATGTTGTTAAAAATTTAAAATGAAATGATAAATTATAATTGATCAATTTTTTATTAGAAATACAGGTAAAGGGATATGGATATGGATACTTAGGTACTCAACGAATACGGATATGGGTATAAACATTGGTGTCCACATAGATATGGACTCGAATTGTGGGTATGGGACGCATACTACAATATCCTACTCATTGTCATCCCTACATGCGGTACGGTTATGGACATCACAAACCTATACTTGATCCTGATTCTCTCCTCAGAATCAGAGCACACTAATCACTCTCAATCCACTCCTTAGACCAGAACTCACCAATTAAACTGAAGTATGTACACCACAATGCATGATTTCAACAATAACATGCAGATATGAATATGCATATTTGTCCCCTCTTCTGACCGAGCATATCGCCAATAAGGCCACCGCAGCATAACAGTTATAATATGCTCGCATTCTATCATACATCACCATACTCATCATCATCCACAATTTGCATATAATTTCCATACACATAATTTACCATTTAATTATATAATAATTAATTTATTTATTATCAATAATTATTTTTTATCAAAATGTCACTAAATAGTAATTATATTTCGCGTGGATGCGAAAACGGATTTGAAAAATAAAATTATCAGTTCAGAATTTATCACTGATACGATGACTGCAAACTGGACATGTGACGACCTAGCTGTCACTTGGGTGGCAACCGTCACCCAACTCATCATCCCTTTTTAATCCAACATGTCACCCTTGTGACTATCAACATGGAAAATTATGTCAGAGATCATAACAACCTCCCCGTCATGATGATGACGACCTCTGTACAAAGCGCGTGACGACCTTCACCCTGAACCATAAGGCAAAAATATATTTTCAACCACAAGAGCTAGATTGAAGCTCTGATTTTGACTTTCAGATATCCAATTCGAACAGAAAATATTATCCACATATCATATACGTTTATTGCATCAGTTAATAATTAATTTCACACATAATTAAATATTTTACCATGAATTCAAATTTTTCACCAAAATACATTCAAGACCAAAATCAACTTCAAAAATTGAATCAAATCAACATGTATAAAATCTAGTATTACACCAAACACGAATTTCATACTCATACACATCAAACATTCATAAAATTTCCAGTTTCAATATTATCAATTTCTCAAAATATATAAATGAAAACCTAAAGGAGAATGAGAATCTCTCACTACCCTATTATGCATGTATACACATAAAAGAGCAATTTTTCCCCTTACTTGAATTTTCAGCAAGCACGAATTCAAAATTTTTGTTATGATTGCTTCTTCCTCACAAAGTTTTTGTTCTTGCCTCTTTCTCCTAATCTCTCAAATATCATGTCCTCTCAAATGTCATGTCCCGGCAACTCTAAGGACCACACTAATCTCTATATGTTCCTAACCTAATTTTTTATCCTAATTAATACATTTTTGCCCCTTAACTTTTGATTTCTCTCACCTTGTCCGACCACATATCTCCTTATACCAATTTCTATCCCATGTCTCCTAATTTTCTTATTTTATTTCAATTAATTGAAAATAATTATTAAATCTAATTGTCTCTAATTATTTTAATAATACTACCAACCCATCAATACTCTCACTATGCTTCACCATATACTATATACCACATACTAAATAATTAAAATAAAAACACAATTAATTCAATTAACTAAATTAATCAAACTCAGAGTGTTACACGCGACACCCCCACTTCTTCAACTTTAAAAAGGTGAATTCCAATAACCAGGCTACAGACAACAAAAAAAGTGACGAACGAATTTGACCTTTTCACCCAAATTAAAAAATATGACAAGTGACAGAATAAAAATTTTATTAAAATTCTTAATAACTATTGGTAATATTTTAATTATGTAAAAAAATTTTAAAAAACATTAATCAATATGTACTACTAAAATTACATTGAAAATTAAAAGCATTGGAACAAATATATTTTTTTTAAACATGACATTTGGTGACAGAAATATCGGTTAATATTGAAAAATAGTACAATAAGTTTGTGCAATCCAACTCAACAAATAAATATTGGGGTAATTATTGATATTATTAAATTAAGTTTTGTACAATTCGACTCAACAGACAAGTGTTGTGTTGATATTATTAAATTAAATGTGTTTCACAATCAAAATGAGTAGGCTGCACAGCCTAGCTAACTGAAACAATAGTGGTTGACGGATGGACAATGGGCATCTACTAGTCAGCACTTGGACCAAAAGCTGCCATCCGGCATTGTACAATTTAGTTGTCATTCATCATACAATCAATATCCCAAATATACCATTTGTTAGTCTAGACATGAAGGAGAGAGATATAACGCCTGTTACCATTATCAGTATTGAACCGTGAGCAGATTCGGTTACACTAAAATGGTTAACATCAAGGCAAATATTTAGCACATTCATTTCAAACATATTATTGGAGATAGAGTAGATAAAAATATTAGTCACATCAGATTCCATTAGGAAAAATGCTTTCTTAACTAGTGTAGAAAGCTAGGCAAATATGTCCTTGCATTGTTTTTCCACAACACTTATTAACATGGAAGATGAATAAGAAGCTGAAAACTACAGCACGTTTGCAAAGAAAACAAATAGGGGAACAAGGGAATCAATTTATAGACACTAACTCTAGAGTTCTTCTAAACTCATCCTTGGAGAGATGAAAAACAAGGAAACAACTTTAAGTTACCATCTCTACATCATCCCCTTGCCTGTCAAAAAAAAGAGAAAACCACGCCAGGTAATCGAATAATATGTGGCGATTGAACTTTAGTCTGATATTCTGATCTCCACTCCTAAAATGTCCTTCACCATCTCATATGATACAAACGCAAGTGCTATGGATGGGACCACCTGCACAACAACAAGTTAAAGAATAAGAGGAACCCAAAATAGTGTAACAATTAAAGATTAAAACCATTAAAAAAAATTCAGGTGAATAAATATTCAATACATCAACTTGATCTGGAACGAGTATAAAACAGGTGTCAAATTTATACAACATTGGCCCTTGGCTAATCATGTAGGCTTATTATGAGACACACAGGAATCATCCATGTGAAGAGAAGTGTCTCGCATTTTCCAGAGATAAATAGAAATAGTGGTATCTTTGTAAAGAGATGATGCTAGTCTTCCTTTTCAAACAAGAAAAAGTAGATACAATTTTGTCAGAATTGATCATGACTTAGATGAAGACTTACCTTTACAGAATTTGGAACCAGACCCTTGTATAATGCACCAAATCCCTCGTGCCTAACAGTTTTCCTAAATGCATCAATCATCCCACTATATTCAAGTGGGGTTTTGCCTCTTCCATCTCCAGTTATAACAGAAGCAGCATTGTGCCAACCGGTCATCTGCATTCTTCGACGAATGACATCAAGAGGGTAAGCGACGGTTTGTCCAATGGTTCCGGCAGCAGCACCACAAGCCAGACGTGTTGTCACGCTCAACTCAGAATCTTGGACTAGACCAAATGGTCTAGATTTAATCAACCAATCTTTCAGAGACTCGTAGACAGCAAAGTTGAGACCAACATAAGGAACCTGTGGAAGAGAAAATCAAGTTACCAAAAAAGAGACCTTGCTTCTGTGCAAAATTACAATAACAGTCAATTATAACTATAATTATGAAACAGACACAGAACATTGCAAAACAGTAACCTTTCAGGAGATCAAATCTCATAATGTAATTTTAACTGCACCAATATTGGTCAGTAAAACCGTCATCCACTTCAAATCTTGAATGCCTCTCTACATCTGGTATGAACACGTGGTATTGTATTACTTTAATTTTGTTTATGAAATTTCCCCTTCTAAAAATCATAAAATGAAAAAGACAAACTATTCTGTTTCTAAATTCTTAACTATGTACAGATGACAAAACCACCACCACCATATCGACTTTTCTGTTCTTCTCTGCCAACAAAATGCAGTGGCTGAAACAGTGTATTTTGCTCCTCGACTTCCTCATATGATCTTCAGAATTACATCACCGGATGTCACATTACTTGGTGGAATGGAAAAATTGGAAACTAAACATGCTTTAAGCTTCTCAAAAGACCTCAAAAACTCCACTTTATCATACAACCCCCATGTATAGCCCACTTGATCTTCCATGATGGACTCTCTACATTGGCTTAAGTTGAGAAACTGATGGAGACATTTGTGTCATTAGCATCTTGTGGCTGGTGAAGGAACAGGGAGGGTAATGGGCAGTGCAGACCGTGGTGGGTGAGCAATAATTGTGAAATAAAATAGAAAAAGGCTAACTTGTTTGACCGGTTAACAGGTAAAGGTTTGGAAAAACATAGATGTGGCCCAACAGAGTTAAGTGTGTTCAAGAGAGTCTGTATAAGAGTGTCCTTAGCATTCCTCTCCAAACAATACCAAAAGAAATGAAGCATGATAGAATGATATAACGTTAACACCAGACTTGTGAGATATACATCTACCAAGATCCAATAGCAAATGCATTTACATGTTGTCTACATTTAGGATCACAATTTTACATACTTTTTCAACACAACTCATAATAAATACTCCCTCTCCGTCCCAAAATGAGTGACCAAGCCCAAAATTTCACACATATTAAGAAAAATGTAGAAAAGTAAGAAAAGTGTAGAAAAGTAAGAGAGAGAATAATATTTTTACTATAGTATCCCTAATCATGTATTGAAAATGATGAAAGTTTAATTAATTAGAAGGTAGAATTGGAAAAAGTATATTGGAAATTGAAATGGGTCATTCATTTTGAGACACTATTTTACTCCAAATGGGTCACTCATTGTGGGACGGAGGGAGTACTGATTATTGTAACCACTATCATAAGTCTGGTGTTAAAGCTTACCCATTTGCTATTTGATTCATTAGCTTTCCATTTTTGGGCCTGTAGGGAATCATGCAATCTGCTTTCCCTCAAATAAAGTTGTGAGGTTCTAGTATCTACCAATAGATCCTAGCATAAACAACTATGAACAAACAGAGAACCTAGGGATGCACCCTTCCTAAAACCCTACATGCTACAACCATTGTTAGAAATCAAAGGTTCAGTTTTAAAACAAGACCAAGCATGTAAATGTTCCTAATAAAAGAGGTAAAAGAAGGAATATAAGATGGCATAGAACAACACATCCAACAACCTTAGTAGAAATTCAGTTTTATATTTCAGAATTCTTTTCTCTTTCTTGGGATCAAAGCCCCTCCCCTCAACTGCACATCCTATGTAGCTTTTAAATGCACTAACAACTTCTCGTAAAAATTGTAAATTAAACATGATCACATAACTATACCAAAAAAATAAGCATGTTCTCCATAATGAATTATTGGTCATAATTATAAACTATCATCTTCATAAATAGAGATATTCAGGAGAGATTACTCACAACTCCAATAACTGAAGGAAGCCAGCCCTTATATAATGCACGAGGACCTTCTTGCCTAAGCACAGTAGTCAAAGCATGGAACATTCCTCGGTACTGATAAGGGGATTTCTCAGTCTGCAAATACAAGGCGAAAAACTTTCTGTCAAACTTTGGGACCACATATACTTTCTCCAATTATTATTACAACTACCCTTATAAATTATAATCCACAACAAAGGAAATCATTTGCTAAAATGAAAAACGGACCTGTACAGTTATCCTGCCTCGGACCATATCCATCGGATAAGTTGCAGACATAGCAATTATTCCAGCACATGCTCCGGCTCCAAGTCGTAAAACAGGGGTAAGCTGAGCATCCTCTGCAGAAAGTACAGGGAAATATATTTAGACAACTAGAAATATTTAAAAAAGAAAACCTAAATCTAAATATTTTACGGTTCAATGCATACACAGATCATTTCAGCCAGTGTTGTCAAGCAAAAACTGTTGTTTGATTTATTTTTTATAAGTAAAAGATTACTGAAAAAATGTATTTAACAAACAATAAATCATTAGTGTAAAAAAAAATCCAAGCCAACACAATTGAGTAAAAAAATCCAAGCCAACACAGTTGAGTAAAAGATTGTTCAATTTGAAAAAGAAAAAAAATCCAAGCCAACACAATTTATCCAAGAATAAAAATGATAAACATACCATTTCCAGTTTGCTGCTGATAGAGTTGCAGTATGCCTCTGTCAAAATAAGAAAGAATTGTCAGCAAAATGAACAGAGTAGAGAGTTATAAATGTGTGAAGGATGTTTGAAATGATTGAAAAATTTTAGCCACTGGAGTGCCCCTAAAGTAAAATGTTAAAATAGTATTGCAGAAGCCAATTTGCCATTACTAAAAGTTGATTGGTATAATACTGCACCTGAATGACAACTAAAAGAGAATTCTAGACAAAAACAAAATCAGTGTTTCATTTTGTATACAAGTAAAACTTACTTAGAAGCTTGCTCATAACTGAAAAACTTCACAGCAGAATTTGGGACAATTCGAGCACAATTAGTACCATTTCCCTTGAACAGTCCACGGAATCCTTCAGTTCTCCAAATATATTTTAGGCCTTGTACTGTTCCATTGTATTTTATGTTATGAGGATTCTGGACCTGCAGATGGCAAGACCAAGAGACATGCAATATGTAGAAATTAGGGTACACCCAAACAAGCATGCTGATATACAGTCTAATCTTTGTCCCGGCATATAAAAGCAAGAAGAAATGATACCTATGTATATCTAAACAAACTAACCTGTAGCAAAATTTTCATTCGCTCAAGCGGAGCAACTGCCGTTCGTGATCTGCAAGTTACGAAATTTGTTGATTTGATTAGAATTTATCATAACACCAAAAAGTATTTTGGAATTAAAAAAGAAATAATTTCCTGTAAAACTAGACTATAGGTCACTATAATTTTGATTATTTCACAACTGACTGAAATTAAAATGCAACACGCAGCATATATCAAAGTTAGGAAGGCATTAACTATCAAATATGAACGGAATGGGAATCTCCTAGTTACTTTTATAAAACTCACACATACAATCACAAGAAACCAAATCTAGTTCCATTCTAGAGCCCCAAAATTGGAGGTGTTTCTTCACAAGTGATCCAAATCCAACGCAGGTAATTTTTTCCTAACAAAAGCATGTGCTGAAAATAAAATACAAAAGTTCTTCTTCAAAGCTATTTCTTTAAATTTGAGCACCAGGTTTTTTGGCCTAAGTGCTATTTAGTCCATGGAAGACAGCAGAATGTTGCAGCCAACCCTCAATGCTACATCAGTGTAGCAGGTAGCTGTATGGCCATTACATTCAAATTTCGGGGAACAGAGTAATTTATACCATAATCTCGTACACATGTAAAAGCTCAAATTTCACTCTACCAATATCCAAACCCAATACAGAGCAAAGTTTAAGGTGAAATGACCAAAACATCAAAAAAAAAACATACAGAGCAACTGGAAATTGAGGGCGTATTCCGTTTTTACAGAAGCTAGGGCTGCTAGAGCCCATAAATGGTCACTACTCAAACACAACACAGTAGATTTTCGCATAAAGACTAGGGGTCATTACACTGCATAATGTCGCTATAGCAGCCACTACATCTGCTATTGACAACACAACCCAAGTGTATCTTATTTTTATCACTGACGCCTAACAATAGTTGTAGTTTCACCAATTGCCAGTCCTTAATTTTCTGATTTCCTCACAGGGGAAAATAAGACAGTCAAGGTAAGATAGCAATTGCAAATATGAGCAAATCCAGACTTAACAACTTCACAAATGAACAAAAGCTTTTACATTTAACACATCATTTTTTTGAATATATTTAACAGATCATGTATAGCATAATCATACAACACCAATTTCAAAAGCCAGATTAATAATTATCCGCATCAATCCCCAATTACTTTACAGAATCAACCCAAATTCAAAACAAACAAAAAATCTACACAAAAAGCCATATGATTCAAAACATCCAAACAAAAATAAAAACTCTACTTTCCTCGAAAACACAACAATTTAAATCACCAAAAATCACAACTTCGATAAAACCAATGGAATTTCAACATCAAACCGCAAATACTTCCAAAATTCCAATCAATCATTTCAAAATAACAATAAATAAGAAATGAAAACGGAACTGACACTCCTCCTGCGACTCCACCGGCGACGAGCGACTTGCAGATGCTACCGATTGCATAGTTAGGAGCTTTAACAACTCCTTCTCTCGCGAGCTTCGCTTCTTCCGCCAAATTCACGATCTTCGTCACAGCTGATTCGCCAGTTTTCACATCTTCCGAAGCCATAATCAATAACAATAATAATTCCGATAAAATCTATAAACCCTAAATAAACCTGAACTAAAAAAATTATTAAAAAAATAGAAATAAATAATCTAGGTCGACGGAGATTGAGAGATCTTCAATTTTCCGGCGAATTATTTCGGTGAAAAGTTACGCTACGCGATCAATTCTCTCTAGCGAGCTCTGAAATGGTGGCTGCGGAAGCTTCTAGAGAGAGAGAGTGAAAGCTCACAGAGACCACTAAGCTATACTACTAGTGTATATGAGCGAAGAAGCGTGACGGCGTTTGTTTACAGTTACGCTATTTATACGAATTTTAGAGAAAGAAACATTTCTCTCACTAAAAAATTATTACACAAATTTCTTGCAATTCTTTTTTTTGAGAAAAATGAAAAATTAAGATAAAATAATTATTTTTGTGGCTGAGATTATATATATAATTTTTTTTAAATGTTTTATTAGGATTGAATGTATGACGTGTATGTTTGAAAAAAAATTAATTAACTATAGTATGCATGCATTTTATTTTTATTTTGGTTAAGGATGCGTGTACTTGTTTTATATATACGTTTAATTTAATTGATTAATAATAGAATATAATCTTGTTATGGTAGTTTCTTGAGAATAATCAAATGTAATTAGATATGTAAAAAAAATAAGCAAGAACATATGTTAATTGGTTCTTGGTTTTTATCTTATGTATGTGTAAGTGTATGTTTTTTTTTAGTTTAGGCCTAACTTGTTTTAAACTATGACAAAGTTATGTTAGATGGTGAGTTGTTTTTTTAATAATCTTCAATGTCTTTGGATTAGACAAATAGTATGTGAGAAAATCTCACATGCATAACTTTAGATGCATTGTGTTGAATTTATGAAAATGCATTAAAATAGGATTGTAAGTCGTTTTAGTTTTTATGATTTAGACTATAATTAAGTTATATAGTTCGAATAATGTTTTTCAATTTATGTTTTCAATGGCAAATTTGTATATATACATCAGAAAAAGTTTGGTAAAATTACCCATAAAATAAAATAAAATAAAATAAAATAAAATAAAATAAAATAAGAGGTTAAATATGTTTGAAGTTCTTTTAAATATCTCAAATTTTATTTTTAGTTTTTATAAAAAAAAATTTTGAATAATGGTGCTCCTAAAATTTCTCATCTATATTTTAGGTAGTTGTAGTCTAGTTCCACTAACAGAAGTTGATGTGGCAAGACACATTGCACGCCACGTCACTTGAAGTAAACATTATAGGTGGCTAAAAAAGATTTTTTTTTTTGAATAATTAGGTATTAAAAATTTTTTTCGCAAATAACCATGTTTCAGAAAACCCCACAAGGGAGGAGTTAACCCAGTTGGCGCATGCACCTTATTTTAAAGGAGATGCGCCATCTCACTTGGCGCCTATGTGTAAAAGGTTTGCCCTAAGCCAAGTGAGATGGCGCCTTAGTGCAAAAGGCAGGTAATTTTTCGCGTTTTTCATTTTAAATGTGGTACGTTACGTAAACGATATAGGATCAAGAAAATTTACTTTTTAGTTAAATAATATGATTACACACATAACGATTACATAAAAAAATACAGATTAACCAGTGGTCCCCTGGAACCCGGTAATGGCCCCTGGTTCCGCATCTCCGTCCTCGCCTTTTCCGTGTTGGGTTTCATCGCATTTCCTGTTGTGGCATGGTCGATGGCCCAGCGAAGTCAATGCATTCCAGATCCATGAAATCGGTCAGATCTCCATATCTAGAAAATCCGCTTTGGTACAGTCGGTTGTCCATACCCTCAAAGTTTGGTCGTGTTGGTCGTGGATGGGGTTCCATGGTTGGTCTGTAGCACTGGTCGTCTGAGTACGGGGGGTGGAAAGAAAATGGATCTTGGGGTGTTTGGTATTGGGAATGTTGGGTGCTTTGGTGATGTGGTGATTGATGGTAAGTTGGGTCGGTTGGTTCATAATCTTCGGACAATCCCAGATCAGAGCTAAGATTAGATGTTGAGGGGCCCATATTGGGATATGTAGAAGACTGGAATTGTGTGTGGGGTATGCGGGTGTATTGGCATTGTGATTGAAATTGTGGTTGGGTGTGAGGCATATGGGGGTATTGGTACTGAGGTGGTGATTGTGGTTGGTTGTGGGGCATGTGGGTGTAATTATATTGTGGTGGTGATTGTGGTTGGGTGTTTGTGGTTCTGTTTCGTCGGGGGGGTTGGTGGGAGGTTGATGTGTATTGGGTTTGTTGTTAGGGAAATGAGGGTTGTGCCTATTGTGTTTGTGGGTCAACCAAATACCTTGGATGAGACACGTGCATTTCTGGGGTACTAACCGATCTGTACCAAGCTAAATACTGATGTGTGTGTCACATATTACCATGGTTGAGGAAAACTGGGAATTTCAAGACATGTCGGTGACACCTCTGCCACATCTTACACCATTCTGGAGCAAAATCTTTCTAGTTGGTAAGACCCCATTGGGCGTCGACCCTTTTGAGATGTCACGGGGATAAACAAGTTGGATCGCAGGGTATCTCTTGATGCATTCCAAACTGCATCTTGACACGGTCGTTGTGGTGCATCTCCACAACATTGAACCGTATGATTGCAGTCTTTGTGCTCCAAATTATTGCATCCTCGGAGTTTGGTTCATTGTCCAAACCCAAATATGGTCTCGAGACAAACTGCGGATAAAATTAAACCAGCTTAATGAAAACGTAATAAATAAATAATTTAAAAGTAGAAAAGTTGAAAGGTATGATGTACATCATCCGGGCCAAGGTGATCCAATAGATTACGGTATAGAGCGACATTGAATCTTGGATTCTTACCCCTCACGCAGTACCTAAAGGGTTTGAAAAATATTTTTTTTATCATATATTTGGTGAAAAGATGAATAGTAATAAATGATATAAGTTGATGACTTACTTTGTTGTGTATGGGAAAACGAATGCGTTGTTGTTGACGGGGTTTAGGGACTCCATTCTCCACCAACCCCAGGCTTGAAGTAAAAAAGCGCAACCATAAAATGTACATTTTTCCTTGATTGCATTTTTACACAAGAAATTGTATAGATGGGCTAAAACAGCAGAACCCCAACTATACTTTCTAGTTTTTTCGAAGTCTCTAAGTAAATTTAAATACATAAAATTTACATTATTTCCCGTACTTTCGGGAAATAAAAAGGTTCCAAATAGTATCATTATATAATTTCTAGCTTTTATTACCTTAGCTAGCTCGGAGGAATTTTCGTTCAATTCCAGAGTCGCATAATGATTTTTTAGCTCAGTAAGTAGTATACTCTGACCTCTCGTACCATCACCTTCAACCATATCCCTGCCCAATAATTCTTCACACAGAGAATTGGGTTGTTGAACCGACCCGTTAACCGCCTCACCATCAACAGGGAGACCCAATAACATGTATACGTCCTCTAGTGTGACGGTACATTCACCTATTGGTAGATGAAATGTATGGGTCTCTGGTCTCCACCTTTCCAACATTGCAAGTATGAACTTTGAATCAATCGTGCAGTTGGAGATCTTTATAAAGTTTCCGAAACATGCGTATTCGAGATAGGGTACGATCAACGGGGCGGAAGTAAGGTTGTTGTGTGACCGGATTCTGAATCTTTTAGTATCCTAAGTTAAGAATGTAAAAAGTGTAAGAGTCGGTAATATGAATAAAGCATTAATAGAAGTATAAAAAATGTATAAGTATATAAGAAACTTACAAACACTGCAATGTTGTCCCTTGTGCCTCTGTGAGAATCGCCCATTGTGAGAAGAGCCATTGTTGAAATTGTCTGAGATTATGAAAGAGTTTAAAATTGTATGAGATTATGAAAGAGTTTGTAGCAGAGAGTGAGACGATTGTGGATGCAATAGAAGTATGTGCGGCTCTATATTTATAGGCAAAATTTTATTATTGAGTAAGTGAGGTGGTTGGTGGGTGCATGCATGCATGATAAGTGTCACTCTTGAAGTGTAGGTGCAGGCTAGGTGGCAACCTTGGGGAAGGCATATATGCATGCATGTAACACGATTGGACGTGAAGGGAGGCGCCATTGAACTTGGCGAATGAGTACAAAAATGCAAGGTGTCGCCATCCCTGTTGGCGAATAAGAGGTGTAACTCTTGCAGTGTAGCTGCAGGCTAGGTGGCAGCCTTGGGGAAGGCATCTTTGCATGCATGTAACACAATTAGACGTGAAGGGAGGCGCCATTGGACTTGGCGAATGAGTACAAAAATGAAAGGCGTCACCATCCCTATTGGCAAATAAGAGGTGGCATGGGTTGCAGTGTAGGTGCAGGCTAGGTGACAGCCTTGGGGAAGGCATCTCTGCATGCATGTAACACGATTGGACGTGAAGGGAGGCGCCATTAGACTTGGCGAATGAGTACAAAAATGAAAGGTGTCGCCATCCCTGTTGGCGAATAAGAGGTGGCATGGGTTGCAGTGTAAGTGCAGGCTAGGTGACAGCCTTGGGGAAGGCATCTCTGCATGCATGTAACACGATTGGACGTGAAGGGAGGCACCATTGGACTTGGCGAATGAATACAAAAATGAAATATGTCGCCATCCCTGTTGGCAAATAAGAGGTGTCACTCTTGCAGTGTAGGTGCAGGCTAGATGGCAGCCTTGGGGAAGGCATATATGCATGCATGTAACACGATTGGACGTAAAGGGAGGCAAATTAGAGGTTGCTTACTGTTGGTTTATTCAAATTCAGTACAACCTATTCAATCTTACATTTGTCAAAACACTTCTACACTTAATCACTCAAACATTAGAACATTAAAAAGTTCAAGCAATTAACTCAAATACTTCAAACCTTCAAACCTTCAAACAGTCATACACAATGGCCTATGCACCTCAATATGTGATCGGTGCACATTTCAATGGTGAGACATACATTTGTCCCACCTCTGGGTTTTTGTTTAGAGACACTGAGAATATCCGATTTTGTTTAAACAGGAAATCCAATTTCTTGTATTTCAAAAAATGAT